TCGGCTCTGTGGGAGCTGTGCCCGTGAAGACCGTGTGACCAGGTGGCTGTGGGGGCTGCCACCTGCCCCTGAGACCCCCTCCACGAGCGGGCAGCAGGACTTCCAGGCCCCTGCTGGCCGGACGGTGGCTCCTTCCCTGGGTGATGGGTGACAGGAGTCCTCGGTGCTGGACCCTGCTGCCATGCGGCCGCCACTGCTCACTGTCAGGTAGTCAGGGTGCTGCTGCGCCCCGTGTCATTCTCCCATGGCCTATGTCTGTCTCACGCGTGTGCTGTCGCACCCGACCCTGCTCTGTGAAGTGCGGGCTGCAGCCCCTGCACCGACAGGAGACCCACCGACCTGGCTTCACAGCGAGCAGCGTGAGTTTGGGAGGAGGGTCAGCGGTCCCTGTGGGGGGTGGGGACTTGACCCTGCTGGGGTCCCTTCTCATCAGCTATCTGTGTGACAAACCTCCCGAGACCCAGCTGCTGGAAGTGGGGCCACGCTGTGTCGCAGGGCTCAGCGGCCCCCTCTGCTGCCCCGCCTGGCACGTCCCCCAGTGGCTGCGTTGAGTTTGGCAGTGAGGGGCTGGTTCTGGCTGGGGCCCCTGTCCCCCCTCACGGCCTTTCTCTCCCAGTGATACAGCGGCTGCCCTGAGGGGCCATCTTGGGCATGTGCCCGGGAGCAGAGGCAGAGCCCGTGTGACCTTCAGGCCAGCCTGGGAAGCATCGCCGCTGGCATATTCTGTTGGTCAAAGCAAGGGCCTGTCATTCCTGAGTCAACGGGTGGTGGATGGGTGGCATCTTGATGGGATAGTGGCAGGGGGCGGGCATCTGCGGCCACGTTTTCCCGCAGGTAGCAACGATGTGGCCTTTTTTAAAAGCCCTTGGGTGGGGAGTGGCCCACACTCCTTCCCTCTGTTGTCTGGGGTGCTGGGCTTGGACGTCTGGCACCCGTCCCTGTTTGTTTTCGGTTTGGCCTTTTCACGGTGGCTCTGTGTGCCGAACTTGCTGGCCCATGGCCTCCGCCCGGGCACTGTGGGGCTTCAGCGCTGGGAGCTGCCCTTGGCCTTGGGGAGACCTGTGTCTGGCCTCGTGCTGATCGTCTGAGGTGGGCTCCTGACCTCTCTTCCTCAGGCTGAGCTGCAGAGGGTCCTGGGGTGCCTGGTTTCCTGACGATGCGGCCTCGCCTGCGAGTGCTTGTTTGTGGACAGGGAGCCCTGAATAACTGTTCGGTCTCGTCCTGGGCTTCTGCTAATTAACCGTCTGCTCTGCACTCATGCCCTCCGTTACCCTCATGCTCGGCAGTGCACTTCGGGCTCAGTGAGGATCGGACGAAGGGGTGACGGACGAGTGGGTGAGCAGAACCGCGGTTTGAGGGCACGGTGTTATCTGATGACTGTGGGTCCCACAGGGAGCCCTGGGTGAGCCGAGGAAGATTCTGAAAGGCCACGGTCCGTGTCCAGAAGTCTTTGCAGCCCACTCTCCTGCTCCCCTCAGCCATGGGCCCACCGAGGAGAGAGAGGGCAGGGCAGGTGACCGGGTGTGGCCTGGGGCCTCCAGGATCCTTTGATCTGTGGTGCTGGGTTTCGTGGGGGTGACGTGAAAGCTCTAGAAATCGGGTTCAGTGTTGTTTCTACAGATTCTAGCTCAGGTCGGCTGACACTGAATGGTGCTCGGACATTGGGTTCTGTTCCATCTGTAGTGCCACTGAGGAGAATGTTTGTCTGCATCTGATTAGCTGGGCAGGGCCACAGGGGCGTGTGTGTGTGTGACCCTGCATATAAAACCACCGTCCATGAAAACCACTGTGAGTCGCTTAGAGGAAGTGAGCTCACCAAAGCCAGAAGTCCCCGCGCTACAGGTGACTGTCTTAAGACTGTTTATTGCCCACAAGTTAAGATCTTTTATCTGTTATTATCAGATGTCCCCAGATTCTTTCTGAGTGACCTGGGAACAGCCCAGTCTGGGGGCACTCACCGGTCAGCCAGTGGGGCATGGTGCCTTGCACTGTCCCCACCGGCCCCACGGGAACGGGACTGACGCCTCGGCTGGCAGACCACTTGGTTCTCTGCTGCTGCCACTCGCTGCGACCTGCACTGTGTGACCCTCCGTGGAAGGCCTGGCCGAGCGCCTTCGGCCACCCAGGCACCCTGAAGAGGGCAGCTGGCCCACCCCAACCCCGGGGTTCCAAATGCGGGAGTCCGATCACTGGGCCGGCCCCGGAGGGAGCCCCGCAGTGAAGCGTTTGTTTGGTCCGTGAGGCCCTGGGGGGCTGTGGGGGCCCCCGGAAGCGCTGTCACGTGTTTTCTACTTTTCAGCTGTGTTTCATTATTTTGTCCCACAGTGATCATCGGTCAATTTTTTTTTAGCAGCTGAACTCTTTAAAAATGTTTTTAAAATTTAGTTTTTATTTTTTCAAACAGCTTTGACATATAATTCGCGTGCCAAACGATGCGTCCATGTCAGGCTGTGCTACCCCTGAGCTGTCCTTACAGACCGGCCGTCTCGAGCAGCTTCTGCGCGTCGGGTGCAGCAGACCCGAGGGGCTCCCGGCACCCCGCCTCTTCATGTGGAGGGCACGCCGCCCACTCGCAGCCCCGAAGCGGCTCCCCGCCCTGGCCCCTCCGCTGGCCTCCGGTCCCCTCGTGGCCGCTGCCATGCCCATGGCTCTGCCGACCCGCGGACGCGGCGGCCAGAGGAAGAGCCCTCTTCAGCAGCGCGGTGTCTGTGGAAGATGCTGTGGTTCTCACTTGGTGGCTGCAGGGATCTGAGACACTCACACACCCCGAGGCCAGAGGGGTCAGCATGGGTCCCAAACACGTATCATCCTGTGACTCTCGTAAGCCCCTCCACAAGGGGCCAGCAAGCCCGCAGCATGGGGGGGTCCAGGGGAGCAAAGCGATGCCTGGGCGGGACTGGGAGGGGACCAGCCTGGTCAGCGCCCCACGCGGTCATCCAGCAGGGGTTAGCCCCTCACCACGTCCCCAGCTCCATCGGGGGACGACAAACCGCTTCCCTGGGGGGTTATGTGAGTTCAGTGGAAGTGGCGGTGGTGCGGGGACCCCACAGTGTGCCCTTCTAGAAGGGCATGCCCTTGGAGTTTGGAAAAGTCGCCCCTTCCAGCCGACCCGCTACCCCACCTTCCTGCCACCCCACCGGCCCCTCCCGGTCACTCCTGTTCCTGCGTCTGCACTGGCCCTTCTGCCACAGCCCATAGGCTGGCCGCTGAGTGCGGTGACATGGGAGTCCCTTCCTATCAGGCCCCACCGTGGGCGTGAGCATGTATGATGAGTCCATGGCTGTTCTGATGCTTATTAAGGCTCGGCTGGCCCCACTTTGGCTGCTGGGGGTCTCCCAGGTGGACCCCAAGCTCTCGCTGTAAGGACGGGGGGCACGTGGGGAGAGAATCACCGCAGAACGAGTAGGGGAGGGAGGGGCGTGCCTCGTGCCTGCGGGACCTGGAGGTGCAGGTGCGGAGAAGCTAAGGTGCTGGGCCAGGGGACAGCACATGCCTGGAAATAGCTGAGCTTCGAGGTTCTGTATGTGCAGTGTGGACGAAGCCACAGTAGTCACGGTGCCCTGGTCCCGCTGTCCCCTGTGTGAGCGAGGCCTCCTATCTGTGGAGGGAACGCGGCACAGGGGAGTAGGAAGAGGCTCAGGCAGCGAGCCAGCGTGCGCCCGCGGGGAGCCTGCCTCGCTACGTGCCCACTCTGCCCACGGGGCCCGAGCAGCGAGCACTCCAGCCCCCAGATTACGGCCCCTGAAGGCCACTGCCTACCAGCAGGACCCGGGGCTTCCCGCAGATGCGGTTTGCCCCAGGCTGAGCCTGGCACCCTGTCACGCCAGGCGGCGGGCATGCTGCCAAGACCCGGGCACCAGAGGAGGATCTGACACCACACGTTAGAAGGTGTTTTCCGCTCTGGTGATAAGTACCAAGAACTGGGACTTGGATAAATATTCTGTTTGCGATGGAAACAAACTAGCAAATCGAGATGAACATAAGGGGACGCACGGGACCTGCGTGGGAGACGAGTCTGGCTGCAGAGAAGGCTCCAGGGGGAACGCTGTGACCGAGTGCTGTCTTCCCAGCTCCACCAATGGCCCTCGACCGCCTTCGGGCCAGGCCCATGGGCTTTCTGGTGCCCAGTGTCCCTGCTGCTGGACGACGCCACTGTCCTGCCCGAGTTCTCCGCCACCAGCTTTGCCAGGCTTGCCCGGGCTCTCCCAGCCCCCCAGGAGGGTACCCGCCGGCCGTAGGGAAAGATACCTCTTTATTCCCGGCCCGGCCGCAGCGAACGCTGGGTGGGTGGGGACAGTGTGGCCCGCTAGTCAGTGTGGCCCTGGGCCGCAGGCCTCTCCCCCAGCATGTGGCCTTGGGTGAGGCATGGACCTCCCTGTGCCAGTGGGTAGCAGTGACCTTGGGACTCAGTGGGGTGGAGCACGGCAAGTGCCAAGAGACAGGGACATGCGGTGACTACGAGAGAAATCGCTAGCCACGTCCTCGCTGGGCAAAGGCTCTGTACGTTCTAACTCGGAGGGCTGGAGGTGGTGCTGACCAGACCCTCATGGCAGGGAGGGACGGCCGACGCCATGGGGCCCAGTCCCAGCCCTGTCTCTTCCCCGACGTGGTTACAGCATCTCCCTTGGCTGTCCCAGCCCGGGGACCACTGCCCGCACCCCACCTGCTGAGTTCCTGGCACCCAGGTGGGCCCTCCTGGGGCCCCCTGTTGTGGAATTTCTTCCCTCCTGCGGGGATGGAAGACCAGGATGTGCCAGCTCTCAGCCCCTCCCTGATGTGAACGTGGGGTGCGAGCCTAGGGGTCTCCTGCCTTCGCCCTGTCAGACTCCCCTCTGTGCCCCCCGCCCCCCGGGGGTGCGGCTGCCCCTTGGCTTCTGGGCAGTGGCTAGGGTGGCAGCTCGTTCCCCAGGCCTCCCAGGTTGGCACACAGTAGGTGTTCAGTAGGAGCTGTCACGGATGACGGTTGGCACACAGTAGGTGTTCAGTAGGAGCTGTCACGGATGACGGTAAGGCAGGTGGGTGGTGCCCCCCCACCCAGCGCCCCTGCCTGACGATGGCTGCGCACAGGCGCGTCCACGCTGCCTCCCCCTCCTGGCCCTGACAGTGCTGCTGCTGGTCGGCCTTCTGCACGTGGACGTCGGGACGCTCACACCGTGAGTGCTACACGGGGCCCCTCGGTCTGGGTGCTGCCTCTTCCCAGGCCAGTACCAGGGCACCCAGCCTGCCCACCTTCAGGTGGCACTCAGCACTGGTCAGTGACCGTGCTGGGTCACGCCTCCCAGCTGGGCCTCTGTCTCCACTCTGTAAATGGAGGGGTGGGCCCTTCTTTTTGGGGACCCAGTAGCTTCCTGGGGCCCTCCCAGTGACTCCTGGGGGCAGTGAGGAGGGCTCGGGGCGGGTCTGGGCCTGGCTGGGGTGTCGGGCAGAGCTGCCATGTGAAGAGGGTGCTGGGAGGTAAGGCCCACGGCGGGTCTGGGGGCGTCAGGGCCCCTGCTGCTGTACCTGCTGGTGCTGTGCCCTCTGTGAAGCCCAGGGTCCACAGGATGGCCACACAGGCCCAGCACGGTGGCCTGGCTGCTGTGACGATGGGCGTGTGGCTCCCAGCCACCTCCCCCTGTGCCACCCCAGAGGAGACGCGGGAGCACCGGAGCCTCCCCACTGTCCCCAGGACTGGAGCAGGCCTCCGGACCCTGTCCCGCCCCCTGGGCCACTCCTCTTGCCCCTGCTTTGGGCCCTCCACAGGTGGACACCTGCCGCCCCAGGCTGGAGTCCACAGTGGAGCAGGTGCCACTGTGGGATCACAGGAGCGGGCACTGGCATCCACTCTGGCCCTGTGGTCAGGTCGGCCCATCCTCATATGAAGGGTCAGTCAAGAAATGCCGGATGTGTGGCCCAGGTCCCAGGGTCAGAGCCATGCCAGGTGCCCTGGGAGCCAGACAGAAAGCTGGGCTGAGAGAGGTACCAGAGCCTGGGGACCCAGCCTGCCATATGTTGGGGGCAGATAGTGCAGCCACTCACAGAGATTTGCGTCTGTGCCCGTGGGTCCTCAGGGCTGTGTGTGGGGGGTGTTCCTAAGAGCACTGTGGTGGGGGGGCTGGGGTACAGGGTCGGGGTGTCATGGGTGTGGGGAGTGCAGTTTGCGGGATCTTGGATTGAGGGACTCTGGTGATAAAAGACAGTTTAGAGGTCTGAGGGGATTACTGTGTTGGGGTCACGCAGTTTGTGGGGAGCTGGCGGGGGGTTTGCTGGGTTGGGGTCTAACCCGGTGGGGGCTGTGGGTTGGTGGGGCGCAGGGAGCTCCCTCGCTGACGGCTGCCCGCGGTGCTCTCCTCCCAGCCTGCTCTGGGGCCAAGCATCATGTTCCTGCAGACGTAGAAGACGGCCAGCGCACGGTGCTCGACGTCCTCTGCCGCTTTGCAGAGACGCACAACCTGTCGGTGGCGCTGCCCGCAGGCTCGGGCTTCCACCTGGGCTACCCCTGGCTCTTCCTGGCACGCTACGTGGAGGGTGCAGAGCGCGACGGCTCACGGCGCCGCTTCAATGTTATGTGCAGCCACCTGAGGTTCAACCTGCCGGAGGTGCGCCGCGCCCGGGCCCTCCGCGGGGGGCGGGGCTGTGGAGCCGGGGGCTCGGCCAGGCCTTGGGTGCACTCCGTGGCTTTGAGGTGTGGCTGTGCTGGAGGGGCTGCGGCCTGGTGCGGGGGTGCTGCAAGGACATGGCCGGAGGGGGCGCGTAGAGGACCTTCGGGAGGCCCCGCCCCCGCCCCCGTGGCCTGCACCCTGACAGCCTGGGAGCCTCACCTTCCTCTTCCCCCGCCCAGTTCCTCCTGCCCCAGGACCTTTGCACGTGCCGACCCTTCGGCAGGGAGGCTCTTCACAGCTCCCCTGTGGGTCATTTGGGTCTCAGCTTAGAGGTCACCTCCTCCTGGGGGGCATCCCTGACCTCCCTTCCGAGGTGGAGTTTGGGAGGAGGGGCATTGCCTGTGCCGGTGTTTTCGAATCATTCTGGACTCCGGTGGGGGGAGTGGCAGTCAGGGGGGCAAGGCGGCCTGGACTGGATGCAGGGAGGCCAGACAGGAGAGGCGCTGGGCGGTTCAGATGTGCTGTGGGATGTAGGGGGAGACGCCGCCTGCCCCTTGGGCCCGGGAAGAAGCCGGGAGGGTCACCGCCCTCGCTCTGTCCCCACGCAGGTGCGGAAAGTCATGCCGCAGGACACTTTCTACTTCTCCGTCCTCAGAAACCCCATTTCCCAGCTGGAGTCCCCCTTCGTCTACTACCGCGGCTTCGTGCCCGCCTTCAGGGGCGCGGCGAG